TTTTTTTTTGAGATGGAGTCTCCCTCTTTTGCCCAGGCTGGAGTGCAGTGGCATGATCTTGGCTCACTGCAGTCTCTGCCTACTGGGTTCAAGCGATTCTCCTGCCTCCACCCCTTGAGGAGCTAGGATTACAACTGTGTGCCACCATGCCTGGCTAATTTTTGTAATTTTAGTAGAGATGGTGTTTCATCATGTTGGCCAGGCTGGTCTCGAACTTCTGACCTCAAGTGATCCACCTGCCATGGCCTCCCAAAGAGCTAGGATTACAGGCATGAGCCACCACACCCAGCCACACTTTTGAGTGGGTTGAGCTACAGATGCAAGGAGGGTGGCTGGGGTTCATCACCATGAACGCTCTGCGTGATTTTGTCTTGGTCTCATAAACTCAAGGATCAGATGTGACTCATACTGTTTATTTAAGAAAATGAACACCCATTTCTGTAGAAACAGATCCCTGGCAAAATGTTGGCACTGAGATGCTAACATAAGAAGCGGGACACAGCCAACTTGTGTCTCTCTGGACACCAGAATATGCTGTTCTCTGAGGCAGCAAAGCAGGGGTTCCCAAGAGTAGGCTCTGCAGCTGAATGACTCTGTGGTCCCTGGCACAAGGCCTGGCTCTGGGTAGGTGCTCAGGAACTGGACACTGAGTGACTGATCAGGCCCTGCCGACAGATAACAAAGAAAGGAAGGCTAAGGTGGGAGCGCTGGGCTGGGCACCTAGTTGAGGACAGAGAGGGTGCCGCAGGAATGATGAAGACTCTCTCCCTGACCAAAGTTTAGTTAGGCTCCCCCAAAGCCTCTTCTCCACTTGGCCTTGACCTTGGCCTTCTGTGTCTGTCCTGCCCTTGCCAGGCCTGCATCACCCAGTCTTAGCAAGAATCTTGCTAAGTCAGTTTAGACACCCTTGATATCTGATCACTCTGGCCTGCTGTCAGTAAGAATCCTGTTCAGTCGGTTTAGCAAGAATCCCCCTACCCTTGCTATCTCCTCTTAATACTTTTCCATCCACTGACCCCCTCACTCTGCTCCTTGGCTACAGATCCCTGAAAGTCTTTTCTGTAATCAGAGTTGAGTCCCATCTCTCTCTTCTATTGCAATGCGGTAGTCTTAAATTAAGTTTTCCTTACCGTTTTAACGAGTGTCAGAATAATATTTTTTCTTTAACGGGGGAATGTAAAGGTGCCAAACCAGACTCGATCCAAGTCACGAGGGCCCCCAACACTGGCCCCGAGGTGCCTCTTCCTCAAGTCAGAGAGAGGAAGCAACAGAAAAAGAGACTCGTGCCCCACCCCTCACTCCAACCCTTTCTGAGCTCAGAGGGGAGAGGTCAGAGGTGCCTTCCAGTGGAAGCTAGGATGCACATACCACAGAGGAGGACCAGCCAGGGGCAGCAGCCCCAGTGAGCCCGGGCCATAGGGTCTCCAGATGCAGGCGCTGGGTGGATGGAGGGACAAGGGAGAGAGGGAGGGCTCTTTCCCCGGCCTCTTCCTTCAGGCCTTTCCTGGGCGCCAGCAGACAAGGGGTGGGGGCTGGTGTCAAGAAGGAGGCGTCTGGCTGCTGGATGGAGAGTGCCTCTCTGGTCTTTTGTTTTGGAGGGCTCTGGGAGCCAGGGTGGGCAGAGGAGCTTTGGGCTGCCCGAGGCGGACTCTGCAAGTTCCTAGTTGTTTACGATAGGGTGTGAGGCTATCCTGGGCAGAGTCCAAAGATCTCAAGAGACAGAGGCACAACAGCTGGTCTCAATCAGCCTGCTTTTCCCAGCCCCCTCTCAGCAGCCGAGCCCCCGCCATTCCTTAATTTGGTCCCCTCCCCTCCAGCAAGCTGATTCCCGTTAGCTCCCACACTCTGGGCTCTGGCTCCAGCACCTGCTTTTGCTGTGGGGATGGAGATTTGCCTCCTGCTGCTGCTCCTCCTCCTCCCCCCTCTTCCTCCTCCTCCTTTTCCTTCTCCTCCTCATTTTTCCTCCTTCCCCTCATTTTCTGTTTTCCTCCTCCTCTTCCTCTTCCTCCTTTTCCCTCTTTGTCCTCCTCCTTTTCTTTTTTCCTCCTCCTTCTCCATTTCCTCCTCATCCTCCTTTTTCCTCTTCCTCCCCTTCCTTTTTTGCCTCCCCCTCTTCCTCCAAGCTGGCTGGAAAAGCCAGTGTCCTCTCTTCTTGCAGTGCTTGGCAATTCCCACTGTACCCCTTGGGAAAGTTGGTTGTGACTGGAGAGTTACTTTCTTGAGCTGGGATGAGTCCCCCCAGGAGCGCCCACTCTGAGGAAGTGATGCCAGCTCTTCTCTTGGGATCTGGGGAGTCCCATTCCACTGCATTTTCTGAACCTGCACTCTGGGGAACCGAGGCTGTTAGAGTCACTCACACCTGGGAGGAAATGAAAACCCAAAGATGCCCCTATCTGGAGGGTTCGAAGGATGCCACTGAAGAGGGAAGAAGACCCAGAAAGGGGAGTTTGGGCGCTCTGAGAAGACTAACTTGGTGAACTGGAAATGCTCTTTCTGCCATAGCTTCTAGAACAGCGATTTGGTTACCCCGAAGTGTCTCCCCACGAGGGAAGTGGAGAAGCTGAGGCCTGCCTTGTCTTCACGCCCAGCTGAATCAGAGGGCAGCATCAAGGCAGCTCCTAGTAAATGCTCTACAGAACCCTTGCTCTTTGGGCTCGAGGAAGGCGATGTCCCAGAGAGGAATCCTTTAGAGAGACAAACAGACCCAATGGGGTTGGGTGCTCACCTAGCCTGGAGGGCCCCAGAGGCAAACCACCCATTCCTTTTGTTTCTATTTTTATTTTTGAAACAAGGTCTTATTCTGTTGCCCAGGGTGAGTGCAGTGGCATGTTCTCGGTTCACTGCAACCACAGGCTCCCGGGCTCAAGCAATTCTCCAGCGTCAGCTTCCCGAGTAGCTGGGACCCTAGGTGAGTGTCACCATGCCTGACCACCATTCCTTTTGTTTCTATTTTTAATGGATTTACAGTCTGCTTATGTCCACATCAAGTTTAAAGCAACTTTCAACAATCCAAGAATGACAAAATAGGCCATTTTGAAGAGGGAAAGAGGACCTTCATGGGAGTCTTCAAAGGGGCAGAGTCAAAATGATTGAGGTGGCTCAGTGAACTTCATTCTCAGGAATAAAAGCAGAGGGCAGGAGCCCACAGCCTCAGAGGACAGACCAGGAACAAGGAGAACTTGAGAATGCTGTCATTCAATAACTGCTGAAGCTCCCACAGCCTTTTCCCCAGGCTCCTCTCTCCCACCCCTTCCAGAGTTGGTAATGAAATTATTCCCAGAGACCAGAGCACTGGGAAATGCCCCCTCAAAGCCGCCTCCCCGCTCTGTTCACTGTAGTAGCCATCCTGAAGGGCAAGCAGGCAGAGCTGATGGGATTGTGCATGGGAAGACCCCTGAAGACAGCCTTTGAGGACAAACACAGTCCTGTTTTTCTGTCAGTGAATTGAGCCTTGAAACACTGACTTGGAAGCCATCTGCCTGAGTTTCAATCCCAGCTCTGGCACCCACTAGCTGTGTGATCGTGGACAAGTGACTTTATCTCCCTGAATCCCCAGTGTCCTCACCTGTGAAATGGAGTAATGATAGTACTAACTTTTTAGGGTTGTTATGAGGATTCAATGGGCTAATATTTGTGATGCTCTCAGAACATGCCTCGCGGAGACGAGAGTAAATGTTCTACAAATGTTCGTTAACTCACATACTAGAACTAAATAAAGCCAGTCTCATCTGTACTTTGTTCTTTCTCTCCCTGGCATCCAGCACTCCTGAAATGGCAGTTGTTATAGCAAAGATCAGCTGAGCTGAAGGGCCAATCCCTGAAGCAAACAAACTAAACAGGGATTTCACCCGCATCTTCTGGACTCTGCCCAGGGATGGTCCCCACGTAATACTCAGCCCTCTGGTTTCATACTTCTGGGTCCCAGCCTTAGCCCTGGTGGCAAAGATAACTTCACTTGCCTTCATCAGCTCCTTCCTTATCTCCCTATTTTGAAACCACTGTCTTTACTCTTATCAGTTGAGAGACTTCAACCCAAGTTGACAACAGGCTTGAAGTGGAAAGAAATGATTCAAGGTGGGGAGGGTTGAATGGCCGAGTCTTTGCATCAAAGTTGTTTGGAAGATGCACGCGTCACTAGAGTCTTGTTCTGGCCTGCTCACGCAGTGGACTTCTGCTTGTTTTACTTTTTGGTCCAAGGCTAGCCTAAAAGCCAAATTCTGAAATCGGAGGTGATCTTCTCTAGAGTACCTCCTGTCTGTGCCTCTTATTTTGCATCCTGATGCCACCCCAGGCTTGTCACCCTGACTTACAACATGAGCCTGCCCTCTCTGGGCACCAAAGCCTCCTTGACTTCCATCAGAATACACCTTCTTGACTTACATGTTCTCTTGCCAGGTGACAACCACTAGGTGTCCTGAATCACAGATGAGGTCACAATAACAACTCACGTCATGAGTATGAATGAGAAAATGCATATAAAGTGATGAGGAAGCAGGAAGCTCTAGCACCAGGGATACAAACAGCTCTGCTGTGGGAGCCCCAGGGAAGGGTAGAACCTGGAGGAAGGCCAGGAATCAGAGAGGTGGAGTGAACCTTGGCAGTAGAGGTGCAGAGATGGCATTGCAGGAGGTGGTCACAGGGAAGGACAGCAGTCTAGGGGCAGATTGGCAGCAGTAATGTGAAAAGCAGCCTGAGGAAGCACAGGTGGACAGCGCTATGGCCTGGAATAGCTGGTGGCAACAGGGAAGTCAGAGACCCAAGGGGGATATGAGCCCTGCAGAGCATCCCCTGGGGATGTCCCAAGTTACTGAGGATGAAATCATGAAACAATACCTGAGGTTCTGCAGTTCTGCAGGTGGGAAGGAGACTTTTGAGCTAGCACATGCCCAGTCTAACAGTTCATGTGACCTCAGAGGCTGAGGGACTGGGGACGCTTGGCCTCGTGGGCACAGCATGTGATCTCTGCTTCCAAATTCCCTTTATAATCTCCCATCAGATTCCAGTATCTCATGCTGGGAGACAGGCAGGGTTCTCAGCAGGAGAAGAGAAGACAGACTTGGAGAAAAAAAGTGGCTTTGCCTAGGTCCAAGCTGACCTGTGGCAGAGCTGGGACTCAAACCTGGGTCTGGGGAACTTAAAAGCCCATGCTCTGTCCATTGGGCCTCATTGTCACCCCAATCTGAAGATCCTCCATGGCTCCCACTCCCTCAGGGTAGAATTCAATATCCTCAGCTCAGTGGCCAAGGCCTTCCTCCCTAACATTACCCATCTCTTCTTGTCCACATTCTCTCCATCCATCAAAGTCCAGCACAAAAGTCATCTTGTCTACCAAGCCCTCATCACCTCAAATTCATCTTGGAGACTTCCATAACATTTTATGGGAGCTTCTATTTTCAAAGACTCACACTGACCTTTTTCTTTCTCAACAACTCTTCTGTCTTAGGTCACCCATCCCCAAGGGCAGGAGCTTGCTTTTTATAAATGTTTAGATCCAGGACAGGTCCTGTCCAGGACAGAGCCCCAGCAAAAAGCGGGCTCAACACAAGTTTGCGGAGTTGATGCATTAACTCCAAAGTCCAAAATTCAAAGTCTCATCTGGAAATGAGTTCCTTCCACCTATGAGCCTGTAAAATAAAAAACAAGTTATTTACTTCCAAGATGCAATGGGGGGATAGGCATTGAGTAAACATTTTCATTCCAAAAGGGAGAAATTGGGCAAAATAAAGGGCTACAGGCCCCATGCAAGTTTGAAACCCAGCAGGGCAGTCTTTAAATGTCACAGCTCCAAAATAATCTCCTTCAACTCCATATCCCACATCCAGGCCACACTGACACAAGGGGTGGGCTCCCAAGGCCTTGGGCAGCTCTGCCCCTGTAGCTTTGCTGGGTTTGGCCTCTGTAGCTGCTCTCACAGTTGTTGAGTGTCTGTGGCTTTTCCAGGTGCAGGGTGCGAGCTGTTGGTAGATCTACCATTCTGAGGTTTGGAGGACTGGGGCCCCCTTTCCACAGCCCACTAGGCAGTGCCCCCAGTGGAGACTACATGGGGGCTTCAACCCCACGTTTCCCCTCTGCACTGTCCTAGCAAAGGTTTTCCATGAGGGCTCTGCCCCTGTAGCAGGCTCTGCCTGAGCACCCAGGCTTTCCTATACATCTTCTGAAATCTAGTCAGAGGCTGCCAAGCCTCCTTCACTCTTGCACTCTGCACACCTACAGGCTTAATGCCACATAGAAGCTGCCAAGGCTTACAGCTTACACTTTCTGAAGCAGCAACCTGAGCTGTATCTGGGGACCTTTGAGCCAAGGCTGGAGCTAGAGTGGCCAGGATGCAAGAAGCAGTGTCCAGAGGCTGTACAGGGCAGCAGGGCCCTAGCCCTGGCCCATGAAACCATTTGGTCCTCCTTGGCCTCAGAGCCTGTGATGGGAGGGGTTGCCTCTTAGATCTCTGAAATGCCTTTTTTAGTTATGCAAATATCTCTAGCAAGTGGTTACCCCACAGTCTGCTTGAATTCATCCCCTGAAATTGGGCTTTTCTTTTCTACCACATAGTGAGGGTGCAAATTTTCCAAACTCTTACACTGTGCTTCCCATTTAAATAAAAGTTCCAACATTAAGTCATTCCTTTCCTCCCACACCTGAGCATAGATTGTTAGAAGCAGCCTGGTACCTCTTGAATGTTTTGCTG